TTCCCGAATAACTAGGTTATTCAAACCATCCACAATCGATCATACTTTGCAAGTACGTATTGAAGCAAGACTGTCATGAATGGGTCTGTAGTTTGTCTAGGACATAGTTGTAGTGTTCATGAGTGCTCCTGGAATAAGATTTGAGTATTGGATTCAACCCACACTCATTTGAATCACTTCATGGATTTAATCATGAGTGATCATGAGATGATAATATCTTATATTCTTCAAACGTAAGAGATATGAGTTGCAGTTTACAAGTCGGTTGCACATTGATGATATGTAAACGCACCGGTAACTCGATTTTATAAAACATATCATTGTGTGTGATTTGATGAGTAGATAGAGCAAACATATGAGTCGAAGTTTATCCATTCCTTTTACCCTTGGAGGGATAAAAGCAAAAATTATGGGCCCCTCGATGATTTAGTGATGACACCCCTAAGTCGGAAATCGGGAAACAACAGATGGACAGAGATAATGATTATAATCAATGTCTCAGTCCATATGATATCTAGAATGGAGGAATATATGATCCCTTATCTAATGGACGCATTATTTGACTAGGTCAGAGTTCGACAACGGCTTTTAAGAGCTACGATTGCTAGTCGGGATTTTGGAGTCGTACTTGCAATTATAGTTATTAGACTTATCCAAGTGGGAGACTGTTGGATTAGGTGTCTAAGCCCATAAATATTATTGGTATGTACTTGACCCGAGAGTAGCATGGTCAATTTTTTTTGCATATCATCAGGACAATTTGATAGGATGGACTTTTTGAGAAGAGGTTATGTATGGTTTATTAATATATTATAAGTTCTAATATATTAATATGAAATCATATTATTTAATTAGTATTGATCAAGAATTAATTTGGAATTAATTCTCTGATCAAAAGAGACTAATTAAATATATGGGGATTGATTATGTAAATCATTCATTCTTATAATGTGGGCTTATGATCCATAGTTCTTTATGTTGGGCTAAACCCGTGCGGTGACCCATGGATGATCCATGGAGGTTTAAAACCATAGAGCATGAGGAATATGGAAGGTCATGCACATTAGGGTTTACATGGTGTAACCCTGATCTTTCCACACTATATAAGAAACCCCTTAACATCCAAAATTGGTGACTACACATACACGTGTGTTCTTTGGAAGAGCTAGCCGAGTTTGAGTGCAACACACCTTCTCTCAAGTTATCCTTTGTCCTAGATGTGTTGTGATTCCATTTGAGGCATTCACACTATTGGTTCTAAGTTCTTAAAGGCCAAATACATCAAGGATAGCAAGCAACAACAAAAGGTATGTCATCTAACTAGAATCTTGTAGTATAGATACTCCATTGTATGCTAGTTAGGATGATGCTTTGGAATATTGAAAGTTTTCATGTATATTAGAGAAAACATAGATCCAAAGCATTTAGGGTTGCATGTACACCTTAGGAGTGTTAGAATGCTCAAAACCCTTCACATAGTACATTTCACGTTTCGCAGCTACGGAAGTGTGTGGCTGACGAGTCGATGGTTGTATCGCTAGATGATATTCAGATTGATGAGAGCCTGAATTATGTGGAAAAGCCCACTGTAATTCTGGATAGGGAAACGAAAGCCCTTCGGAACAAGGAAGTAAAGTTAGTAAAGGTGCAATGACAGCACTGAAGAGGCTCTGAATGGACCTGGGAGCCGGAAGACGAAATGAGGAAGCACTATCCAGACCTTTTTGCATCAGCAGACTTCGAGGACGAAGTCTAGTTCAAGTGGGGGAGATTTGTAACGCTTGGTTCAGGTATAAATTATTTCTTAAATATTTGAAATTATTGCTGAAACTCGACGAGTTGGGGAGCTCCAACTCGTCGTGTTGAGAAGGATGGTGGCCGCGGGTTTTAATGACTCAACTCAGTGAGTCGGGGTGTCCCAACTCGACGAGTTGGCGGCTGTGAAGAAAACCCTAATTTTAGGGTTTTGCACCCTATTTAAAGACCTTAAACCCCCTTGGCTGGACTCCTTACCAGCATCCCCTGTCCAGAAACCCTAGATACGTGTATTACCTTGCAAGTTTGAGTGTGTGAGCTTGTGTGAGCTTGTAAAGTTGATTTTGGTGATTCTTTGGAAGGAGCTTTGAAGTTGGAAGTACCTAGCTTGGAAGGAGGACCTTGGATCCATAAACTCTTCGTCAATAGCAGTCTTTTGAGGTATAAAGTCGACATCTTGATTTGTTATCATCTAGATCTATTTAATGGAAGTTTTAGCATGAGTTTGGGATTTTGGTTGGGCTAGCCATGATGTTGAAGGTTCCAGGGGTTATTATGTTAGATCTAACCCCTTCATGACTTCTCATGGCTGAAAGTTGCAAACTTTACTTAGTTCCGAGTCCCATTCATGCAAAAAGTCCCTCATTAAGTCCTTATTAAGCTCTAGAGTGTATTTCTAGCTTGCATGGACGTAAAGTTGGAAACTTTACGTGATTATCCAACCTTTGGACTCTAGATCTGTGTTTTGGGACTATATTGGGAGAGTTCAAGGGCTTTATGGATTAAGACTCACTCTAAAGAGCCTAGGGTTTGGGTTTTCTTCATATTGGATGGTTCTTAAGGTTAAAGTTGGAAACTTTACCCTTCTAGACATCATTTTGGATGAGATCTGAGATTTAGAGTCCCTAGATTCGATGGTATCAGCTTAATGCATTAAGAGGTTGCATTTCTGGCCAACTCGACGAGTTCATTAGTGAACTCGACGAGTTGAGGGATAACTCAGCGAGTTGGGTAAACTCAGGCCGTTGACTTTAACTTTTGACCTTAGTCTTTGACTAAGTTTGACCTTTAAGGGGTTTTGGGACATTTTGAGTTGTATTTAAGGATTTGTTTATGTTATAGGGTTCGTGTAGAACGGATATTTGGAGTCCCGATCTAGTCAGCTACCGTTCAGTATTGAGGTGAGTCTTCTCACTACACTTATGGGTCGAAGGCACCAAGGCCGACCCATAATTGATATGAGATGATTAGTATTGGAATATGTATGATTTGCTATTTGATCTATGTATGTGTTTATGTGAAGACCATGGGAGGAGCCCATGGCATTTGGCAAGACCATGGGGGGAGCCCATGGCTCGGGGATACAAGACCATGGGGGTAGCCCATGACATTCCATATGAAGACCTTAGAGGGAGTCCATGGCAAGTTTATATGTATGTGTGCATGACATTATGTGATTATGTGTTATGTGTGTTTTGGGAAACTCACTAAGCATGTGCTTACAGTTTATTGGTTGTTTCACGTACATCCGACCCTAAGGGTAAGGGCCCGGCTTGATGGTGTGGCATGCATTCTCCAGTATTTCCGCACTTAGTTCTTGATACTCTGATTTCTAAAGAAACATTATGATTGTGTAATGGGATTTTAGAAACAAATGTGGCTGGTATTTATGATTAAATAAATGTGGTTGGTACTTATAATTTTTTTATTTTGTTTTTAAGCATATACAATATTTTTAAAGTAAATAATATCTAACAAAATAAATAAATAAATTAAATACATAACAATAAGTATGGAGGATCTTTTAGAAAAATAAAAAGAAAATATTACTTAGCAAATAAAAAACAAAAAAGATCTATATAATGTAAACGTTTTAAAATCAATCCAAATTTTTAATACTTTTTAATTAGAAGTTTATAAACTTTTAATTTTTTTTAATACAACGTTTTAAACTAGTATTTAACGAAAGTATTTTAAAATGTTATAGAAAATATTAAACTATCATACAAAATCTGTGAAATACTTTAAAAATGTTATAAAAGAAAGTTTATAAATAAATGTATGAAAGTTATTAAAAAATTGTATGAAAATGTAAAAAAAAAAGTTAAATACTTAAAAGAAAATTTTAAAACATTTATAAAATATTTGGTTTAAAAGAACTTGTATTAAAATTATATAAAATAATAAAAAAAATTAAAAATAAAATTATAAACAAAGATTTAAAACATTGTATTAGAAAAAGCTATAGGAAAAAAATATCATAAAAATATTATAAAAAATTATAAAAAAAATTTAAGAAATTCGTAAAAATAGAATTGTTCCCATTTAAACAACTTTCTTTATTTGTACATAGCAGGTGACAATGGTAATATGTGAACACATTTAACAAGTTAAATGGTCAAATGTGTACAAAAAAAATGAAGTTACCTAAACGTGAACAAGAGGAAAAGGTAATTACCTTCGCAAGTCATTTTCCCGATACAAAAACCACTTTTCTTGCAACGAAAATGAAATAGGTGGATTATTCCTATGTGAAAACCCTACCGGTTCGCATGTTGGAATTCAAAACGTTGCATGTTGGAATTCAAAACAGAGGAGAAGCATATCAATATAGGCCATTATTATACATGATACATCACACACAACATAATACATCCATCAACACTTTAAATTTAGATGTGTATAATATTTGTCAACTTAATGAACCTTCTAGCATTTTTTAAAACTTCATCTTTTGTCAAGACATAAATTCAAACACCTTCATCTTCATCATCTTTTGATAATAAATATTTTAGACTACAATCTTGGTTAGTATAAAACTATTCAATTTTTTTACCAATTAAGATGAGTATGGATTTAAATATTCATGACTTGACACACATGAAAATTTCTCATCGTCTTCTCCAGTAGTTATAGAATGATATTTCCATGCATTTCAGATTTCATCACAAAACATCTAGAATAATTTTTTATTTTCATGATTTGGTTCCATATTTTTCACATGAAAGTAGTCAAAATATTGACATACTAATTAATATAGGCAATATTTCATAAACCATATCAAATATATCATACTTGTGTGTGTTAGTAGCTTGGAAGCATACCAAAACCGAGATGACCCTTTAATACCCGATCAAAGTTAGCTCCAAACATTTGTTCCATCTCCTTTACTTTCTTGTTTCAAGCATCTATATAGCTTTCTCATACTCCAAAACTCCCCTCTTGTAAGCTTCCACTAAATGTTTTCATTGCATATCAACTGTTGCCTTCAAAGGCTCTAAAGATTCTTCTAAGGGCATAAACTCTTTATGCAACGGATCGTTTCCAAACTTGAGTTTATCAACCATGTCTAACCTCTTGTTTCCCCATGAGAGATCGAATTTAAACTCCTCCAATTCTTCAAGATCTTCCGGAAGGCTTGCTATCTGCTCCCTCGTTAGTGCATCCACAGATGCTCCCATAAATCTTTTGATGGTGGCATGAAAATCTTCCAAAATGGCTGACCGAATTGGTTTCACCCGAATTTGGACCTTTTGAAATGTGGTTGGGTAGCTGTGTTCAACAACCTCTAGTAGCTCTTCCGCCTCTTCCCACACCAATTCCTCCCCACAACTCTAGAGTTCCATGAGAATCCTGGGATGTATTCTTATCAGGCATGTTTGTTTGCATCAATGTATCAGAATCTTTGGTCTTGGGTTTAAAGGTCCATGATTCAATTCATAATTAGCAAAAAGAAAGAATCAATAAATATGGGCCTTTGTTTGACCTTTTACTTACGAAAAATTAAAAACTAGGAAAAAGTAAATATTACTTTCATTGCATGGAGCTTCTTCTTGTTGAAGTTTCTCAGCAAAACAGAATTGGTTATCTGCTTTATGAGCCAATTGAGTGTTTTCTTTTGATGTTACATAGAAAGGAGGTCAATTTTGTTAATGAAAGAAAATACAAATTAATCGGGAATTTAAAATTTCACAACCTGTAGCTTCATCATCATCAGTGTTTGAAAGTAAAATATATTCCATTTTATCTTCCTTCTGGTTATTAGAACCATTTTCTTAGTTAGTAGATCCATTTTCCTTCTGTAAATAGTAAATAGGGAGAAATGTTAATTGTTGCTTTAACAGTTTAAATTATGACAAAAGTCATTTTCCATCGGCACTTGCAACTTTTTCACTTTTAAAAATTATAATTTTTACCCCTCAACTTTTTAAAATACTTTGTAAAATGACATTGGTTGATTAACATATTCTTTGTTCACCAAAAGTACACACAATGCAGGTGCCTTTAACTGACCTTCCAGTTGAAGAACTCTCGAGTCATTTTGCTATCAATGTCTAAAATTATCGACCTTCCATTTTGTATACTTTTTGTATCCGTTCATACAAAACAACTACATAAACATTAAATAAATTGTCAATTGATGAACTCTAAGACCATAAATAAGACTAATCAAAGCAAACCTGTAGAAATAAGACGCATCCTCCCAAATTCCTCTCTTTCCCTTTCCCTTCTAGTATGTTTGAATGCCCTTTCGTAGATCACTTGTAACACTCTAAATTTTCAAACAATTTTTTTTCATTTTTAATTCCACACAAAACACGGTTTAATATCTCATACTCAAATCATAATTGTCTCGAAACACAATAACAAAAACTGTTTGACTCATATCCCATAATCCTCAAAACATAAATCAGTAAGCTGGTGTGTACAATCATGTCGACACCTTCCCGCGATCCTGAGATGTATCTGAAACACATTTCACACAACACTGTAAGCACGAAGCTTAGTGAGTTCCCCAAAATACCACACACAAATAATTAGCCTCTCATGGCTATATCTCAATAAGGACCCTCCGGTCATGTGTCTCAATGAGGACCCTCCGGTCTCACAGCTCGGGTTGGACCCTCCAGTCCTGTATCTCAGTGAGGACCCTCTCGTCTCACAACTCGGGTTGGACCCTCTGGTCCTAACTCAATAAGGAACAGAATAATATACAACATAAATCACAAAGACAGAATGCATAATATATCACATAACTCAGTATAAGCACATAAGACCCTCCGGTCAATACTCAGGCAAGACCCTCCGATCACACAGTATTACCACTCAGGTAAGTATAGTGAGAAGACTCACCTCGTAGGTAAAGCAAGTATGTCTCGTACTCAATGGTCGGTCTAGACTCCGCCTACATATATCATAATCATCTCTAATTAACACTTTATAATAACAACTCTAAAGGTGTTAAGCTAACCCCCTTTACTAATTCTCGGAAGGGGTAAAAGACCATTTTACCCCTCTATGGTCTCCAACATCCACAACTTGACCAAACCCTAAAAGTCAACGGAAGTCAACGCTTAAGTCAACAGTCCATGTTGACCCAACTCGTCGAGTGCATCTATGTGACTCGTCGAGTTCCTCCTGTTCTCAGAAAATTGGGAAAGTCCAACTCAACTCGTCGAGTTTGCACGGCGTCTAGAAAAATGGGGAAAACCCCAATCCAACTCGTCGAGTTGGCTAACCAACTCGTCGAGTTCCTTCATCCTTCTCTCTCATTCAGACGTTATTAAGCGAGATAAAAGCCCCAAACTCTAGATCTAGCCTTCTAAGGCTGAAATACCACGTAAAGCTGCAAGCTTTACGTCCATGCATGGCATTTAGGGCTAAGTTTGCCAAAACAAAGCTTCACAAAGGGTTTAAGGCATGGAAGTTGGCCAAAGCTTGATAAAGCTTGAGTCTTTAGGCCTTAAGAGCCTAATAATGTCCAGATCTGAAGCCTTAGCTTCAAGGCATGCTTAAAACCACTAATGACTCAAGAAGAAGCTAGAAATGGCCATAAACTCTCTAATGGACAGATCTAATAAACAAGTGATCAAGGTAAAAGCTTTTTACCTCCAAATGACTGCTACTACTGGGTGGATGTTGGATCTAAAAGCTCCTTCTTGTTCCAAGCCTTTTACTCCTCAAGTTCCTTCAAAGAATGCACCAAAACACACACTCTTAGCCCCTCTCTCTCTCTCTCTCTCACACACACACAGTGGAAGATAGCTCGATTAGCGTTTGTCTTAGGGTGATAAGGTGATGAGGGAGGCAGGGTAAAGGACTTAAGGTCCTTTAAATAGGGTGAAAACCCTAAAAATTAGGGTTTTCTCACTCAGATCCAACTCGTCGAGTTTGGTCCACCAACTCGTCGAGTTGCCCTGACAATATGGATAAAATAGACATTTAAATTTATACCTGGGGGTCGGGATGTTACAATTCATGGCAAGTGTTGCCTATGGTTTTGTATTGAGGGCATTAACGTCTTTCACATAGTGTAAATATCATTTATCCAATTTATCACGTGGCTAGAGACAAATAATATACCTTAAAGCTAAAAGTGCATAAGCTTGCTTAATAGTTTTCTCATCTTTTGATTTGGTGAGTGTCTCCATAACCTTCATCATGGACACTGAATCATCTTTTTAGAGGCGAAACAAAATTTTGTTAATAGGTAGCTTGTTGACTTCTACAACTTCTTCAACTACTGTATTTGTATGATTTCCATTTTTTATTCCCGTAATGGCACAAAATTCATCCTCTCCAAGTCGGTACTCGATTTTTTGCATGCATAACTTTGTTTGTGTGCAATCAAAATCTGATGCTAATTTTTTTTACTACCTTTCTGCATTGCACATCACCCTTTAATCGAAAAAGACATTCAAACGGACTATCTTTCAGTATACTTAATGTCTCCTCAGGTATCTCATCCAACTTCTTACGAAAGCCTAGAGAACAACACCTGACGTTGGTTTTTTTAACCTTTGTTTTCTCCACTGTGTCTTTATCCACATACAAGTTTCTTTCTTCTTTCAGACATGGGGCTCCATAATTAAGACAAGTTGATTTTCGATCCATCCTTTTTGGCTTTCAGCTTGTTCTTTTCTCTGAATAACATCAAACACGGAATTAAATTTTAACCCTTGTAAAAAAGGGGGATAAGTATCAGCATAAGGGAGAGTAATTAATATACAACAGGTGGAGGGGGATACATTTACTAGAAGGCTAAACTTCAAATGAAAGGGCAGAGATTCATCAATTTCTTATAGAAAGAAAAAATCACTAAAAAGTATCCTCAACTCGAACACTACTTGTATGCAATGATCTGAAATTATGTTATACAAAGTGGTTTATGATTTGAAAATATGTTATGCAAATAGATAAATACACTTAATGAAATCTGTTCCACCTATTCCTTTGTTTTTCATGATTCCATGATTGCATGATGTTGTTTGAATTTGAATTATTATTATTACTAAGCGCAGGGAGTGAAAACCCGCCTCTTCATTATCAACCCTTGGATCTGCTTCCCTTTCAATCGTATCCACTCGAATTCACTATTTACGGTTTTTGGAGCGGTTTTCTTTTACCCCCGACAACTCGCACGATCTGTAACCTCCTCGTCTCCTACTGATTAAGCTTCGCATGACTATTATCCATCCGCCTTCCCCTGCAAATGCGCTCCCACAATGTCAAACTCCCGAAACTGCTTCCTTCTTCTTATCATATATATACTTGATTGGTTCAGTTTCTCTCTCTCTCCCTCCTTCATCGCCTCTCTCTTTCAGGTATGTTTTAATGTGAATGGTTATCTTTGACTGTTGTTTGTTGATTCCACGCCTTTTTTGGTTCCGCAATCGACAAGTTCCGCTACTGAAAGGCTTAAACTGATTCCGTCTGTTAGGTTTTAATCCATTTCTTACGATACGTATATCTCCTCCAGTGTTGCTCTGCCCCGATTGCGATTTTTTTTTATTGTTTTTGTGGGGCTATGAATTTTCTGGAGTTGATTATTGATGGAATTTGCTCTGGTTGTTCACCAATTCATTAGTTGGTCTGGTTGAGAAGGTAAGATAATCGGCTTACCTAAAATTTTGTTTCATAATCGTGATTTTGTTCAATTTTTTTTTGTATAGGAACAAGTTACTGATGCTGGTGGTTGGTTTTTACTATTTTCTTACTAATCCGCAGGGAAAAAGGGTGGTTCATCAGGTCGGTTACCGACTTGGAAGGAGAGGGAGAAAATAAGAGAAGAGGCCAAATGCAGATGATGAATGGTTTAAGAAAAGAAAATCAGTGAGTTTCATTTTTATGGTAATCATTTACTTTGATCTATAATGTCAAACCGGAACATATGTCCCAATTCGACTTCTTAAGTAGTCCAATGCATTCTTTTAATCTATCTAATGTTCTTCTTTCAAATTTTGACACTAATTTGAACATTGATTCTATTTTTATGCGTAATATATTTCAAATGTTGTGTACTTTTTTTGCTTACTAATGGTGGTATGCTATGCTATTTCATCTTACTAGAATTTCACACCATTCTTCATAATAAGTGGTTTGATCTAATGCTACAGGGACAAAGCTACCTTTGTATGCTTTCTGAAAATTAGATATTGTTGAATGCAATGACAAAAATAGCCTCCTTTTCTTTGTTGGATTCCCTCTTCCTTCGAGATGTAATATTAAAATATAAATACTTGACTTTTGGGGGTTTTTGACTATATCTTTATGCTAATATTGTTGGTATCGTCGCTTTTTTTGGCTGTGGTTTCTGATACATATGCATTCTGGGTTAGGATATTTCTGCAAAATATGTTATTATATGTTGTTGTATACAAAAACCATGGTGTAGATCAGCCAACAATTAGAGTTTTGTTTGAACCACAACAGTTAATTGATCTTAGTCTCTGATGGGTAGCAGAGTGCCAAATGGTGTACTGGAATGTAAGATTTATAATTCTTTTTAAAAACCTTTATTATTAAATATTCAGTTACTGACACTTCATGTTTTCCATCAAGATCTAATTTTTATAAATCTATATAGAATTCTTAATGTTGCCAATTTGGGAGGTGGATTGTGTGAGATTTTGGGAGCTTTTGTTTCCCTCAATCAAATGTAATTTCTTACCTTAGAAACTTAAAGAATACCGTTTCCCATGATTCTTTTAAATTTTGTCAATAAAAAATGAGTCAAATGTAATTTCTTACCTTAGAAACTTAAAGAATACCGTTTCCCATGATTCCTTTAAATTTTGTCAATAAAAAATGACTGAATTTCGTATGGTTGAATTGCTTGTGTTTTTGCGATGATTTTTGTGTGTATAGAATTGAGAAATAATCACACTAGAGGTCGTATCTCATCAAGTGTGATTATGGTTCAAATCTCTACACACAAAAATCATCACAAAAACACAAGCAATTCATGAGCTTGTAAGTTTATCAATCTCCCATCTCATTAAGGAAGTCAACGAAAGGAGTCTTTTTCCATTTAATGTTAA